GATTGAAGTCATGGTTAAGTAAAATGCATGCAATTTAAAGCTACGTGTCTATCTCAAAACACTCACGTCTCACATCTGTCCCTTTTACTTCGACTTCTTTGGCTTCTTTTAAGCACTGTCTGTCTCTCTCTTACCACTTCTATCTTTCTTCTTCACATTTCCTTCTTGGTCCTGATCGTGTTTTGATCGATTACAATGGCAACATCAGCTCGTAGAGCTTATGGTTTCGGTAGAGCTGACGAGGCTACACATCCTGACTCCATTAGAGCCACTTTAGCTGAGTTCCTCTCTACTTTTGTCTTCGTCTTCGCAGCTGAAGGATCTATCCTCTCTCTCGGTTCGTACACGACAAGAACCGTTCTGATTCTATCTATATCTGATGTCTTTGCATATGTGATATGACTTGTGAGTTGTGTGTGTTTTTTGATCAGATAAGTTGTATTGGAACCATGCGGCTCATGCTGGAACAAACACACCAGGAGGATTGGTTTTAGTGGCGTTGGCTCATGCGTTTGCTCTGTTCGCTGCTGTTTCTGCAGCTGTCAATGTCTCTGGTGGACACGTGAACCCCGCAGTCACTTTTGGTGCTCTTATTGGAGGCAGACTCTCTGCGATCCGTGCAATCTATTACTGGATTGCTCAGCTTCTTGGAGCCATTCTCGCTTGTTTGTTGTTGAGGCTCGCCACAAACGGCATGGTAACACTAATTAAAACCAAGTTAGAAACCCATTCTATAGAAATTTTAATAAAAACGAGTTTGTGTTCATGCAGAGACCGGTTGGTTTCCGTGTGGCATCTGGAGTTGGAGCACTAAACGGACTCGTGTTAGAGATCATTTTAACATTTGGTCTAGTCTACGTCGTGTATTCGACTTTGATTGATCCAAAACGTGGAAGCCTCGGGATCATAGCGCCACTTGCAATCGGTCTCATAGTTGGTGCAAACATCTTAGTTGGTGGACCATTCTCCGGTGCGTCGATGAATCCAGCTAGAGCCTTTGGTCCAGCATTGGTTGGATGGAGATGGCATGACCATTGGATCTATTGGGTTGGACCATTCATCGGTGGCGCTTTAGCCGCCCTTATATACGAGTACATGGTCATACCCTCTGAGCCGCCTACGCACCACAGCACCCACCAGCCCTTGGCTCCTGAAGATTACTAGATAGGGCTTTTCCTCATGTCCCGCTACGCCTGGTTTTTGTTTAAACTCTCTTTGTCTGTACGAAATCACTTGCAGAGGATCTCTGTTTTGATGCTTCTCTTTGTTTGTAATAATAATAAGAATAAAGAAAGATTTGGTAATGACTTTTTTTCAATCATTTCCCCAACCATATGGATACACAAGTAACAATATCCTAATCTAATCTATCGACTTTCTTGTTCATTTTTTTTTGTATCTGAAACCTCAAAAAGAAAGAAAAAGAGAGAGCTTCTTCTTGTTCTCTAAACCCTGTGTCAAGGTCCTCTCATCTTTTCAACAATCTGTCTACCTCTCTCTTCTACGTGACGCTTCTTCTCTTCAAACTTCTCCCCAACTTTCTTCCTAAAATCGAACATCCTCGCCTTTGCTGTTCCCATTCTCTTCTCTTCGCTTGAAGCAATCGACACTGACGGTGACTCAACACTAATATCTCTGGTGTTGCCTATTGTATCTTGCTTTTCGCTGCTTCCCAGCAGTGGAGTCTTGAGTTCTTGCAAAGATTTGTCACCCTCCACTACAATAGCTGTGGAGTTAGCTGGTGGTGCAGCAGACACAGGTTCTTCTTCAATTCTTGGCTTCTGGGGAACCTCGGCAGTTTTCAGCATTGGTTCAGAACTCGGTGGCTTGTCAGTTTTAGATTTTGCTTCTGCAGCTTCGAAGCTGTCGTGATCATTGGTCGACTCTTGATTCAACCACATGAATGGAGCGATTTTGCGTTCAACCCAATCATCGTTTTCAGCTATCATCCACGGAATGGTTATGTTTTCACAGTTGGGAAGCACCAACACATCTCGTATCCCCGTCTGCAGAATGAGTTTGTTGTCTTCTGTTAGTTCAAAATTCATGTCGAAACTCGAAACTAAAGAGGAGTAAAGAGCTTACCTTAAACCGGTTCACCAAGAACATAGCAACATGACTGTTTGTGATTTTGTGTTCACCAACAGAAGAGACAAGGTCAAACTCAATATCAGGCATGCTTGTAAAGCCAACCCATAGTTGATCAGATGGAGGCGCCTTCAGCTGAACGCGCAGCGTCCCTCGAAGCAAAGACACCCCTATTGACAAAGTAATTGGAACCTGCAGTTTTATAAACATGGACAGTCTAAGATACTACAAGAGCTAAACAAAAAAGTGATCATATAAATCACTCCATGATCTGAGGTAGTAAAGCTCAAGCACTGGGAACCAAGAACGCGACGAAAAGCAACGAAGACTGTCTTGTAGACATAGGAAGATCAACCTGGGAAACTTGCTCAGCGATGTTCTTCAGAATAGACTTCCACTTGGATCCATTGTTCGGAGCTGGTTTTGTACCTTTAGATCCCTTAGATTCATCTGCATTTATCAATCTGGTTCAGCATCCTCGGTATAATTCTTCTAAGCATTATGCAAGTTCACAAGCATACTGATTAGATAAATACATAAATCCATCATCTGTAAATACTACCGTACTAACCAGCTTTATCGCTTCCTCCATTTTTCGCATCTTGTGGTGCATCAACTGTTCCTCCTCCAGGGACATTTAGTTGCTTTTCAAAATCTGCAAGATCTTCAAGGAGATCTGGGGGAACATCCCCAGCAGAATTTGGCTGCAACTTCTCAGCTATGCCTTTCTGCAGATCTTCCTCCCGAGCATCAACACGAGTTTCAACTTGAAGACCCGCACCGCCAGTGTATTCAATATCTAGTTCGAACGCCCACACACCATCCATCTCCATTGGAAGTATCCTTGTACCGTGTATATAAGGCGGAAGAGTTCCGATGTCTACATCACAGCAGATTAATTCACCTATGTAGCTGGGAATCCTCATGCTGGATAACACCCGCTGTTCAAACCCAAAACGCAATATAAAAACAAACGCAAGCAGAAATGCTGACAAAGTAGACGCTTTCATTAACATGGAACAGACCTGGGTTCGTTCATGGACTAGACTCTTCAGCCCTGTGTTTCGTTTGACATCGAAAAACATTCGAGAAATCAGTAAGTTCAACACCGATGTTCCTTCATCAGCAAAAAACTTGTCTTCTGAATCTAAATCTGAAACATGACTGCCATGGCTCCAAGAACGTGGGAAGACTTGCACATCGGTTTCCTCAGGGATGTTATCTTGCATCTTTCTTGCTGGAGTGCTCCTTCCAGAGCTACCGGTAGATTGTGAATCTTGGTAAGGACGGTTTGAAGTCTTCTTGTCTTCACGGTTTGACGGGGCCGTATTCACTTTAGTCGAGTACTTTTTCGAAAATTTCTTCCATAACAAACGAACCTTTGATGAAGGACCACCATCTGTTTTAACCCCCTTATCCAATGGCTCAAAAGTAAACCCGGCCGATGGTTTCATAAACGAAGGATATGCAACGTTAAGGGAAGCCATATATTTTCGGAAATCGTCTTTCAATTTAGTGGACCAGATAAACCTTTCTTGATTCTCGAAAGCAGCAAGACGAAGAGCTTTACACCATGACTCCTTCTCCCAAGAAGTCTCGAGATAGATGTAAAACGCGTGGTTTCCCTTGTACAAGACCGAAGTTTTGCTCTCTATTTGGATAGGAAATCTTTTAGCCCTATGAAAACAAAGGAACATGAATAAGTACCAACTTTCGGAAAACGGATTCGCGAAGTAAGCTTTCGGCGATCTTAAGAGATGAATTACCATTTCCTTGTTGGGAGTCCAGACCCTGAAACAGCCTCAACAGAGCAACCTTTCAAAGTAATATCAGTCTTAGTGCCATCTGAATCTGACAAGATCAGTTTATGGTCTTTGATTCGAGCAAACCTCCTTACTGGATGTACCTCCAAGATATCTCTCTTCTTCTTTTGCTCTTTTGGTAACCCATTTTCCCTCATCCAATCCTTTATACTATCATCAACCTCCAAAATCCAGATCACTCCCTGAGACATCAAATCAAATGCATAGACACACAATCAAATCCAACAGAGATCTAAATATAGAGAAAAAGGAACAAATTTTCGAAACCACATTTCTTTAATCTTCTCGAAATAGAAATCAAAATTGGGGATTTATCTACTCAATTCTCGGAACTACAATTCATGGGTTTCGTTTCGATTTCCAATCCAATAAACTCAATGTTCAATACGAAACCTTTAAACCCTTTAAAGCAGAAACCTTTAAACCCTTGAAACGAATAAGATCGTTCGGTCACCTGTTTGTTGAGACTGAAATCAATGGACTGACGAGGATCAGAATCCTTTAGAGTTGGATTCGATTCATGGAGATTTCGCTTCCGATTCAATCGCTTCAAAAGATACAAAAACCCAGCAACTTCAACCGCAACGATGGCGAGAATCCCCAGCAAAAACCCAGATACGAAAACGAAACCGGAAAACGAAACCATCTCCGAGAAGAGGCAAAAAAAGTTTATCGATTTTTAACTTTAATGTCGAGGAAAAACGGAGAAGATTTCTTGCGAAGGAATCAAGAATAAGAGAAGACGCGTAACGGTGTAGTTCATGTCACTT